GCGTAAACTAGGCATTCTTAATACTTATCAACACAAAGAAGTCTACCTCCATTAGTCTGTAGGAGAGATAAGTGGATCAGGAGGAGAAGGAATATGTAAAGAAAGGGTGGGAAAAGAAAGAAGAAACTTGCTATTTATCGGCTCTAGTATGCAACTAGGTTTCAAAATTTCTTACAGTAACTAAGACACAAAGCTGAGACTACGGACTAGTCAGATAAAAATTATTCCCTGTTTAAATGTTCGTTAATTTTCCTTTTCGAGAATGCATCGTGAATAGTGGTTAAAGATAGACTATCTCAGTAAGCGCGCTTATATTAGGACCGTAAATTAAAATGTATAAGAACCATTTGATTCCGCCTGACTCGCTATGATTTATACTCATTTTGCCTCTGTTTATAACCCCACTATCCACGTGCAGGGGAAAACAACTTTTATAGTAGACCTATTAATGTAGTTGAAATTTTTTATTAATGCGGCAAAGTTAGTTAAAATTATGAACGACCTGGAGCTTTCTCGGTGACTAAATATAATGGATTCTCGGGCTACCAGCCGTGTCAGGTAGTTCAAAGTTTAGAAATAAACGTGTCGAGAACTATCTTCCTACTCAGTGTACTGAAGTTTAAGACGATGAAGAAGACAGTTCTCGAAATGTTGGTTTCCTTTTTTAAGTTTCAACCACCTGACACGGCCGGTAGCCAGAGAAGTATATATATATATATATATATATATTGGTTAAAATTAACTAAATATTAAAGAAGTCTATATTGGTAAATAACAAATTTGACAAAATTATTTTCCAGTAACAATTCAATATGGAGACCAAAAAAGGTGTAAACTCTGCAACTAAACTGGAGGTTGTAGTAATTAAATTAATTTTTGGGATTCCTTCCTCAAAAACGTGTGACTTCGAAACCCGGGTATAACGTCAAAAGTGACCTGATGTACCGGTAAATCATAATTTTACTTACTGCAGGAAATAAATAATGTGAGAAATGCACAAACATTTTACTGGAAAAATCCGAATTGAAGTTGCCACTTGGGAGACCCAAATGCAGTCGTGATGATAACGTTATAGTGAATCTTAGAGAAACTGGGACTGACGTGGACTGGAAAGGATTCATGTGGTTCAGTGCAGGGACCAGTGATGGGCTATTGTGAACACTGTAATGAACCTTCAGGATGAATAAAAGGCAAGGAAGTTTTGACTAGCTGAGAGACAATTAGCTTCTCGAAAAGCATTCTGCTCCACAGTGTTCATACCTGCTCCTGAAGACACCACATCACAGCACTGTTTGCAATGATTCATAAGCACGACATCAGTAAACCTTATTTTTTGCTTAAAAATATAGTACACAAACGTTTATTTCTTACACAAAACCGATACTACAACTAGTGCATATGTTAATTGTGAGAATTTATCACGAATTCCGAAGTTAAAACGCCAGTTGACTAAAATCTTTTGCATCCAGAGTTATGAACTGAAGTTTTTAACTCATACTGTTTTTAGAATTAACACACATAACACTGAAAGAATTATCCGTGTTTGACTTTTGTCATTCCTGGAGTGACCTATTTAAGTAGCTGTCGGATTAAATGTTTTAATTATGGTCGGAAAGTTAACCAAAAACCCAGTATCAAAATAACACGAGTCCAGGACTCATGTCGTTAAATGAAAATCAGACTATAAGGCTGCTTCGACTAATGTAATCCAATCGGAAAACGATACATTTGCCCCTGGTGATTATCATGAAAACAACAGCCCAGTTTTCTCAAAAAGTGGATGGGTGTGGGTCTGTAAATGACCAAATAAACTTTGTTAAGTCTTCCAGGCCAAATGCAAGGCCACTACCATATGCATCTTCGTGTTTGATGTTAAATATTCTAATCTGTGGCTTATGAAGCATTGTCATATAATGTGCTAAATGAAATAGAATAACAACAATGAAAATTGTGTCAAGTCTATAGAGGAAACGACATAAGGAAGGTGAAAATGTTCGCGCGTTTCACCAATTGGTGATATGTGGAGTCGATTTATCTCACAGAAAACAACCATTTATCATCCGAACAGCAAGCTGGGTGGACCCCCAGAATCGATCTGAAAGTGGTGCTGTGAAGAATAACTCCAATCTTCAAAACCCGTGGCCAGGAGCTTTACTGATTACTATTATAAATCATTATAATGTTCAGTGGAACTTCCGATTACACGGAATTCTAACTTTGTAAAAGTTTAATTAAGTAGACCTAACTACTCAGAAAAGTTGCTCTTAGTTTTTATTGTATTCAGAACGCCCATTTCTTCTTTTTAAAATAATTAATGCACATTATTTGTATTCAATGTCCACTACAGATTCACGAAGTACCCTGTTAAGATTATGCAAGTGGAATTTAATGACCATATTTTGAGGGGATTACAGTTTCACCATCATCCATTACAAATATCTGTGATGACCAATTTACTTAGAAAATAAATATTTTGTGACGCAGGTATTTTTGTATATAATTAATCTACGAAAGCTTAAAAAGCGTTTTTTTGTTAATTTAAGATGTAATTTCGGGAGATGGGTTACGAAAGTGGAAGGCAGATTAATATGGACGATCTATAAAATGGAGGGTTTTGTTCGACGTCGAAACTTCGGGTCCTGCTACTCTTACTGGAGCTGGTGTAGACAAACCGGATCGTCCTTACGCCTACTTCACAAACAAACGTCTATAAAACATCTGGGGGAGTGGTAGTCTAAAGCGTGTCCTGGATAATATATAATATTTTAAAGTAGGCCACGATCGTAGCAGGCCTATTCGTAATTCTTCATAATTCACAATTCATTGACAACCCAACTTCAACGTCCACGTTGGGCCTGTATCTAGCAGTATAACTGTGAATAAGAAATTACGAGGGTTTATTGACTCGCTATGTTAAAAAATTCAGATCAAATTTGAACCACCTGGTGTATAACCTGATCATTAATCTTCTCAACAGGGGTTATATGGGAGGCTCCTTGTATAGTAAATGGACAACCAAATAAATAAATAAATTAATCTCATATATGTGTTCAATTTTATTTCAATGCTGCAGGCCTCTTGGACATAATAAATAAATGGATCAGACTCCTTTTTGAGAAGCCCACAGTCACTCAGCTAGTGAAGAAATTCCCTGCCTTTTTGAAATTTAAAGATTCATCACCTTGTATTCAAAGGAGACAAGTTTCTTTAACGTTTAAGTATTCGGCATGCTCATGTGGTTCATTTGGTTCTCAGAATAAACAGGCAAATTACCCATCGTTTCAATTAAAATGCCGATAGACATCTGTAATGGTAGTGTTTTCTTGGAGGTAAGAGAATGTTTAAATATTTTTTAGACCATCTAATGTCTCTACAGTAAGGAAAAAGTAATTGAATACAGAGCAGTGCTTTCAATTTATACTAACAATAATATAATTTCCTTATTGGGTTCATTGCTACCAGCTAAATCCTATATACGTCAGCACTAAAATAAATATAAAATCAAAATAAACAACAAAAATAACACGCAAATAAGAATATTGGTTTTAACATCTAACAGACTACACGACACTACGACCCAGAAGACAGCCATCTTCCAAGTTAAAGTTGTACATACAATCATGTTATGGAAGTCAAACAGCTCTTTCCCCTACATTGATAATTAGAAATATCCTTGGGCTAGGCTACAAGAGACTGCAGTCCGTCCTACATGTACCATGTTACATAGTCTCGGGTTCTTCGTATCGTTAGAGAAAAATCCAAAAGACTATTATTTCGTTTTTATACAAGCAAATTTTACTACTCATATGTGAGTGTATAAATCATGCTTATAAAACATCCCAAATCCAAATTAAATTTGATATGAAGAAAAGTTATGTTTTTTACGTTTAATGCCAGATATTTCACAAGGTGATAATTAATTCCATAACCCCCTCGACTTTTTTATATATCAAGTTACGTACAGAAACACAGATTTTACGTAAAGATACACAAAACTTAGCTGTGACGAATATTTACTGAATCGGAAATACAGTAATATGGCATTTTACACACAAGTTTGGTGATCAGTCACAAATACTGATGTGCCATTAGAGGGCCTGAATACAAATTTACAGCAGGTGAAACCAATATTTGGACTGTAGTTCGTAAGTATGCCCACACTGACTGTCCAACATTAGTGATTCATTATGCAAACATAACCTAGTTCACAAAGCTCACGCCCCAAAATTGTCGATAAAGCTGTGACATGAAATCTGAGACAGACGACATATATGATACGGACATACGTGCGTTTAAATGACAGAAGAAAATTTGACATAGAACTGTACTATCTATGATTTTAATTGACATCAGATATTAATTTTTTTTAAGCCAGGGATGATACGGGGTTCTGTGTACAGGTGAGGTTTTCCCCCAAGGTTAAATACACACGCGGTACATGTTTATACGAAATTTTGAAATTTTAACAAGGGAATAAACTGAAATTTTTTTCAGAAATGGGTTTAAATATTATTTTCCTGAAGTTTAGTAAACGTTCACTTCACAGAACAATGTTACAGTTTTATGTATTATACAATAAATGCACACAGTGACTCCCAGCCATATACAGACGAGTCTTGTACAAAACCTTATGCTATAGTCGGCGCAGTAGTTTTTGGCCAGTGGAATTTTCAAGGGTAAGGCTAGGAGCGAGTCACTTGTGCGATGGTATAATGCTGACTGCACCGAGGAGCTTATCGGACTGAACGCCCAAACAAAAGAAATGCACTGACCGTGCCACCTCAGGTACACAAGAGTAGGCCCGTCCGCCAGCTTTTCCAGCGGCCAAAAACTACTGCGCCGACTATAGTTCCAAAGAAGAGTGGATTGTGCTTGAAACACTACTTAATGGCAGCTCATAGTTTACTCGCAGGTTTATAACAAAATATGGTCTGTTTGCAATCTTTGTAGATCATTACATATTAATATTAAAACAAGAGGCAAGGACGTAGAACACTCACCTGGCCTGCACAGCAAGTATCTGCTCGCGTCACACCAGATACGACTTTACGCCACTCTTATCTCTGACGGGACCAGCTCCAGCAGTCCTCCACGGTTGCCTGCGCTGCTGTTGCTGTTGGTACATCCCCCTCGGCATCCCTGACGCCTTTCTCTCCAGCGTAGAATAGTCCGAGTCTATAGAAGAGTAAATGTGCTCAGAGATGGGGCGAGGACTTGAGCTCGATTCTGAATCGTGCCCAACGACCGCCCCCAAAATAAAATCATTGTGAGGACGCTTGTCGTGCCTGTGAGCTGGTCTGGGTGATGGGGTTGCGGTGGTCGCCGACGAGTAGTTGGTTTCTTCGTTTTCGTGCCCCACTTCTTGGTGATTGCTGCGATGTTTGAGAGGAGTTCTTGGCAGAGTGGCTGTCGAGGAGTATGAAGGGGGGACCACGATGTGTGGAGCCTCGTTGTTGGTCGCCGCGGCCGCCTGGAAAAGCGGGTGGTTATTGATGTGCATCTGCAGGGTAGGTGATGCCGAATGAGGATGTTTGGTCTTTTCTAGATACGCGTGGTGATGAGTTCCGTTGCCTACTCCAGAATCTAGAGTGTAATTATTGATATTCTGTCGGTACATGGAACTTTTGCGTTGGCTGGCGCCGTTAGGCATCGCGTACCTCAGTTTTTCCCAAAACCGCTTCTCACCCCAACGAATTCGGGCTCCAGTCTTCAGATAAGGCCTCAGGTCAGGGTCCAATTCTGCCTCCGGTAAGCTAGTGCCCTCTTCTACGATGACTAACTTAAAGACCCGTCCCTTGAGAGCTTCATGCAGTGCCGACCGGAACTCGAGCCGGGACCATTCTGTCTGCAAGAAGTTGCGAGACAAGACAAGGATAACCCTGCGACTGGCTTCAGCCGCTTCCATCACAACGGGAGAAGTGGAGAGTTGCATGTAGGCGTGATGCACCAGATCACGGTAATGTAAACACAACTGAAAGGAAGGGTTGCCTTGTTCTAATTCCGCGACAATGGACTGCAATACAAATTCCTCATCCTTGGGGCTGTAACATACGTAACCATCGTACAGCTTCTCGCGGTCCTCACCGTAGTGTTTAGCGGAGCCAGCTTTGAAGTGAAACAAACGAATTCCATAACGCGAATACACCCACACCCTAACTGGTTCCCGGAACACAAACACAAGTACAGTAAGCAGGAGCACCAATACGAAGGCTGATAGAGTAACAATGACCATGGGCAAATAGTCAGAAACGATAAATCTCTCGATGACAGACCCACCAGAATAATAATCAACACAAGCAGTATTGTTCAAATCCACAGCCCGTCGCTCCGGAGGTTTAGTTTCGTTGTTGAGGCACGTAATGTCCTCGCTGTCAATCACTTTGCGAGCATTGTCCGCTACCCAGATCTTCAGTTCTTGGAGGAACTTGCAGCGACAAGACCAATTGTTCTTACCCAACGTTATCTCCACGAGATACGAATTTAGCGTAAGTTGCCAGACGGGAAAAGTCTTCAAACGATTTCCGTCCAGCCTTAATATTTCCAAAGATCTTAGTGGTAGAAGAGTGACGTTACCAATAAATGCAATTATATTGTTCTGCAGATAAAGTTCTTTGAGATGTGACAAGTGCTCGAACTCGAAACCCTTCAGTTCATGGATTCTGTTATCTTCAAGATGAAGAATCTGAAGAGAATTAAGTCCATTGAAAGTACGATTCTGAATAGTCTCCACTCGGCTGGCGTTAACGTACAGAATTCGCATATTTTTACGGCCAATAAACACGTGATTCTGCAGTTCGCCGAAGTTATTTCCGTCCAAATAAAGCTCGGTGGCATCCATTGGAATCCGGTGTGGTATCTGACTCGTACCAAGACCCGAACAGTCCACGACGTTGGTTGTCCACGTCTGATCATGATAGCAAGTACAGTTAGATGGGCACATCATCTCACAGTCGCAGGCGTCAAAATCGCAACAATGACACAAGGCGAAACAGTGGGTCTCGTAGGTGCACAGGAACTGGGAAGGTTTGGCGTCAATAGCAGACAGCGTCGGCAAGCCACGGGAATACGTCATCTCACAGATGATATTATCCAAGTCCATGATTCTAGGGTGTTGGCGGAGTTGGGTCATGTCGTTTACCATCTGAAGCCAATCCATTGAACAGTCACACTGAAATGGATTTCCACCTATGTAAAATTCTGGGAGAGTTTTGTTCTCAGGAACTGGAGACAATCTTAGTGCGTTCATGCTCAGCTTCACGAGTTCATTGGCATATATGTCGACCCTCACGAGATCATGTTTGTCCAAGAAAGTGTTTGTGTGAACCAGAGATATCATATTATTATTTATAAATAATAACTGTATGCTGTTGGGAATGGACATGGTGGATATTTCAGTTATTCTGTTATGGCTGGCGTCCAGAGTCTTGATGTGAAGTCCTGTCTGAATCTTGAAATAATTATCCAGTCGTTCGATGTAGTTGGCGTGAATGTCTAGCCAATTGAGGTTCACCGGGACGAATGCGAAGTCGAACCAAACAAGATGGTTGTCAGACAAGTTGAGCCACAGAAGACTGGAGAGCGTGTTAAAGACGCCGTTGATGTCGCTGAGGAAGTTGGCGTCGAGGCGTATGGCTTCCAGCTGCGCGTTGTTTTGAAACGTACCCCGCTCGATATCCTGGACTTTATTCTTGGCAAGATTAAGTACCTGAAGACTTGTGAGGTCCCAAAACATGCCTCTAGTCAAGTTACCAATACTGTTACTGATTAAACGAAGACCATTCAACTGTTGGAGATTTTTAAACGAGCCATTATGAAAGTCACTAATTTGGTTTTCACCCAAATCCAATGTTTTAAGGAAGGACAGTTCCTTCAGTGCCTCAGGTACTTTCGTCAAAGCGTTCGAACTCAGGTCGAGTTCTTTCAAGTCGGAACAATTTTTAAACGCCTGAGTGTCAATATTAACGATCAAATTATTGCTGAGTGTCAGCTTGCTTAGCACAAAGAGTCCGTTGTAGAGCAGAGCGCTGATGTGACGAAGTCTATTATCAGCCAAGTTTAGGGTGTGCAGGTTATATAGAGGAAGGAAAGCGTTGTCTTCTATGTAACCTATAGAATTGTTCTTCAAATCAAGAATCTGAAGGAAAAATAGATCCTTGAATGTACGGACGCCGATACGGGTAATATCATTGTGAGAGAGGTTCAGGACTATAAGTCTGATCAGGCCGACGAAAGTTCCGTTGTCAATGTGGCTGCTACTCAACTGGTTGTGTGACAGGTCTAGCACGAGCAGCTGCTCCAGGCGGCGAAAAAGACCGCGCGCCATCTCGTACAGACAGTTGTTCTGCAGGTAGATCTCACGCAACTCCTTGGAACTAGCAAACAAACCTCCAGGCAAAGACTCTAACTTGTTGTTCGACATATTGAGGATCCTCAAAGAGGTTAAGCCGGACAAGGCGTCTCCGTGAACCTCTGCCAGTTCATTATGCTCCAGATATAGATGCTGGAGTTGTCGAAGACTTGTGATCCCTGAATCGGCAGGGAGGATCTGGAGTTGGTTCCAGGACACGTCTAGAGTCCTGACATCGAGCCCACCACCACACTCGAGCCTGGGAACACTGGAGCTGGTTTCGTATAGACCCATATTTCGCCTCGGTACGAATCCCAACATATCAGCGTCACGAATGCGATTTCGTGTTAAATTTAAAGTCTGAAGATTTCCCAAGTGACAAAATGCGTCTTCCGATAGAGAACGAATGTTGTTGTCGGAGAGATTCAGCATCTGGAGTTCTTTAAGCCCGTGCAAACTGCTCGGAGCTACTTCAAGTGACTTGCTAGAGCCCCACTCCTCATTGTGCGTGTTAATCGTTAACCGTTTCAAATCTCGGAGTCCACTGAACGCATCAGGTGGTAACTGTAGAATTTTACAGTCCTCGATAATCAATTCCTCGAGCTGGCCTAGTCTTTGAAAGACGCGGGGTGGCAAAGAGCTTTCGAAAAGCAGTACCTGGCTACACTGAACCCGCAGCCGCGCTGTGCCTTCCACTTGAAGGGCACTGAGGTTGTTTCCCTCCCCGTCCAAAGTTCGCACCTTGCATAACACCGACATGCGACCGGAGCTCATCTCATTGTTTGCACTTCCGGCGCATTGGTCAGGCGTCTCGTACTTGCTGAAGCCGAGGGTCGCGATGGGTGACAGAAGCAAGAAGACCGTTACTAGCGTGAGAAATCCCGTCAGCGAAACTCTCTCTGCGGTCTGTACTCGGCACCGGCAACAGGCCATATTCCTGTCCACACTATTTCACTGATTTACACACGGAAAGATGCAATTTATCACGATATCGAGTCAGAACGACTGTTGTTCCTCGCCGGCATGTCTTATCTTCGTAGACGCCGTGGAAATGACGTCAATCAAGAGTAGCACAATATACACACACAAAACAGAGTAGCGTCTTACACCACACCCGGAACAAATGTCAAACACACGCGCCAGATTACATCAACGCCGATACGATATTCAAATTAAGTATCACGCACATTAGAACGACTAAAACTTCATTGTGACCATAGGCTTCAGACGTGACTTTTTTGAAAGAGTAGATCCTGAAGTACTGTTGTTCGTTGGACATAGCACGAACGAAAAACAAAAAAATTCTGTTAATATCACGTGCGACATCCAACTGAATACATCATGCATATAGTAAGACTGTTCACACTAACTCACATAGAAAACACTTTTACTATTTCGTGTATAAAACAAATACATTTTGCGGAATTAAACTTGTAACGAGTTCGCAAACGACACATGAGACCGCCATACGACCCCACTTCATCCTCGACCGGCAGCACCGAAACAACTGACTGCTTACACGCCGCGCGTAGTTCGCTATATAAGCTCTGCCTGTGAGTGTAGGCTCGACCGCGCACTCGTCGCCACTACGCGGCAGCACTGAGCAGGCGAGTTTCCAGCAGACGTTGGTCTGATGCTGATGATTCTAGAAGAGTATTATCTGACACCTACACATTTCTTTCTGCGTTTAGACCAGAAGAGATGTCGCTTGGAACCACTCATTACGAGTCTTTGTAAAAGAAATCACGTAACTTTTACCAGGACTTTATAATGAATAAGTTTCAGAGTACCTGAATTTTATAATCTTTTACAACTACTAATTAAAAGAAAGCATCAGAATTCAATATTAAAAACTCTGATGCTATAAAATTAGGCTTAATTTTGTCAACTCATTGCTCAGTGAAATAAATGGTAAGCAGACAGTACTCCGTATGGAAGTACTCAACAAATCAATACAGTTCCCAATTAAAATACGGAACGAAAAAACATCAGGCTAAAGTCGCTTAATTAACACCCGTAACAGATGGGCAGCTATTGGCAAAGTTTTCCATGAAAGACACAATGGGACTCATAATGAAGTACTATGGGCTGGCAAGATCCGCGCTCATGTCTTAAGTTATTTTTGCCCATAATATTACGTTATAGAAAAGTTACAAGTAAGCCTATTTTTTAAAACCGAGTTCAACGCATCACCTATCCAATTTAAAAAAACCGACACCTTCGTTTCATTACATCATTACCATTTCGGGCTGCTCGTTGCGTGTTATATCGGAGGGAATAATGTTTTTTTAAACATTAGTGCAGGTTTTGAGCACTCACGTTAACCGTGTTACTCCAGCTAAAACTTTAAATAACAAAACAAATTTCGCGTCTTAATTTAATGGTTCAATGGTAGCACATGTATTGTAACACAGAAAAATCTGTCAGATATTAATGTATCGTTAGCCAGCTGGAAGAACTAAAAATAAAAAAAAGAAACACATCTAAATCAGGAGAGCTAGTCCCCGGGCCGAGAATTGAAACCGGGAGCTTTCGATTCTAAGTATGCTTGTTAACCACTTAACCTTGGCGTGTGATGTAAGAATGTGAAAGTGTTTATGGAAAACGATTTTCTGTTACTGAGACATCTTTAATGCTTGAAATTTCCATCCTTAGTTATAAGCCAAAAGGCGAGGAAGTGTACCTATGTCTGATCGTTGAATAAGTACGCTCTGGGGCAAGAGTTTTCAAACTTTTAAGACCTGGGGATACATTCACTTTCTTATCGACTCAAGAACCGGAGGATTATAAATGAGGTCAATTTATCGAAACTTCAAGGCCATTTATTAAAACTGCCATTACAACTTTGTGTCCCAGATAGATTCACATATTAGCTTACTGAATAAATTTAACAAATTTATTGGTTTGTTACTTATATTAATCATTCACTTAAAATTAGATACTTAATTCATGCAGTAAGCATTTTACATTAGAACAGGCCTGTACAGACTGATGCAAAAATCAACGTTGGCAAAAGACGTAGGTAGCCGCATGCTTCCCGCGGGCTGTGGTTTAATAACCCTTGCTCTAAGATAAACACAACACTATTAATCATCAATACTGCTTAAAAAAAATAGCTGCTACAGCCAACGTTCTTACTCTGAAAGCCTACTCATAGTCAAAGGCCTACATTTGAACGCTTGAACCTGACAAATAAAGATGTAATACGATTAGCCCCAAACGTCGTGGTCTTTACCCTCGATTTACCCAGTCATTTCAGGTAAATATTGGGTCAAATGAAATCACTGAAAATTCATTCAACATCCTTTCGAATTTATTATTCATTAATTTTCCTAAAATTCATCGCTAAAGGGTATAATCGAAAATATTAAAAGCATCGTTAAATAAACCACATAAAAACATACAGAATCATCCTACGGTAGACTATTTGAACTACATCAATACATCATTCATAACTAAAATTTCATTCGAAAAATACTCCGACTGATTGTGATGTAAATTCACATTTAGTTCATGGACTTCACTCGTTATTAACTTCATTTTAGACACGTCTAAAACCGAATTATATTTTCCTCACAAACACAGACGGCGAATTGTAATAGCCAGCCAAGGGTATAATCTAGTAGGTACATAATTTATATCATCCAATACACTAGTAAGAATGACGTAATAAATCAAGTATTGCCTGTTAAAAGTCTACTGCTGCTGGTTTCTTCGACACGATTCACAATCCTTCATCTGTAATAAATAAGAACAAGCGATTCGTTACAATTTAACAAGCTGAAAGTTATATCTGTAGAATAGTGTATACTAAACTAGCAGTAAAGCCACTAGCCGTTGGCGTTAAGACTTCCGAAAGACCACACATTAGGCCTATAAGCTGTAGGAATAATAGGATTCAGTGGTGAGTTATGTACAAGGCAATGAATCTTGGAGTTCCATAAAACACAGAAGTTTTCTTAAGGACTTGAGCGACTGTTGTCTCCCCGAGATGGACTCTGTTCCACGTACAGTCCGCAGACCAGGAGAAAATCCCTGCTAGGAATTCGATATACGCGCATGCGCAAGATTTCGCGGTGAGTGACGACCCATCCTACAAGCATTCGTTCCACAACCACTGAACGAACAACAGACAACAGGCTTTCGTGTGTTCTAATGGGTACAGCTTTAAGATTACCTCACAGTGGCACAGTAATTTAATCTAGAATATTATCGCAACACCCTCAGAACACATTAAAGGTGCACTCACTACACGCCACTCTTAACTGCTTGATGTTTTCAGTCTGTGTAGTAGCGTAAAACTCTGACGTATCACACTTCCCACCAATAGCAGCCCTCTAGTCCAGCTGATAAGTAACATTACCCCCTGCACCGCACCAGAAACGACATCCCCTTGCACGGATTTTCTCGACATCTGTGGACAGTAGTTAGTTAGATGACATGCTAAAGAAAGACGTTATACGCAGGCAGTCTAATGTCATTAAAGGTAAGTTTTTCTTGCGTCTTACTGTCACTCCATGGCAGCATAGAGGGGAGGTAAATCTTTGGGCTCTGTGCATTTTTAATCTCCTCACAGTTTTAAGGTCTGGCTGCTTTACGCCCGTGGAAAAATCCGTTGGAAAAAACTGTGGACCCTGCAAGAGGCTGGGTGAACTTCGAGACTGTCTGGACGTGGTGGCGAACAGAATGGTACATAAGCATTCCGGGGTTCGAACCCCGAATGATCATCCACAGAATCACTTCACTGACTCAACTGTCTCATTTACTACACTTAGAACATCCAAACTACTAACATGTTCCATGGTTCCATACTTTTTAAAACCTGACAGTCGTTTAGAGTAACACAAGTTTCTACCGCGTGTTTCTCATATAATCCGTCCTGTTTAAATTCATAAAAATTACCCCCGTGCTGTGATTTTTTTCTCCATACATTAACCAGAAAATTAAAATTTATTTAGCTTCAAAGGGTTATGGCGGATTTAAGGAAAATCGGTTTTGAGGATCGAGAGTGATAGAACTGGATCAAGCCTATGCCCAAAGATGGACTTCGATAATAACAGAGCAGAGAGTTAATTACTTATTTAGTTAGATAATACTAGATAATTAGTGAATATGTTTATAAACTGCAGCTACATAAATTTAATATTCCAATTTATAATGACCGTCACTTGCTGTCAATATGTGAAAATACTAAATTCTTTACGCGGCCACCATTTTTATTACTTACTACTTTTGGAAAAAAAACTCAAATATTTCAAAAATCGTATGTTGCTTCGTAATATATGATTTAGTGTCATGTAAGAATAGCAGTCAATACAAATTACGTTTGAGTTAAAGACGCCTTACCGAGTAGCAAAGCTGCAAGGATATAAACTATACAAAATCAATAATTTGTTTCGGACAATGCAATTATTGCAACAAACTCTAAGTTTTTGGGATTGCTATTTTGGTGTCGTTGATGACAAGGAATTAAAATAGGCTATATCACCTTAGAACGGTTTCTAATTAAATACTACTTTTATACATTTTTACAAAAACCAATCAATCGGTACCTACAATATTAATATTTGCTACTGACTCAAGGATCATACAGGTGGATATACATTTAACTTGTATTATAGATCAAAAGTAGGCAATCATTCTAAAATCGATGTTCGTGGAGTAAAAACATGACATATCTCTATATAAAGAATTCGTGTTTTAAAGGTTACATACAGGAAATAATTTTCTGTCATTTGTTATGCTCTTTTCAGCAAAAGAAACGTAATAAATTCAGTTCCATGTCGAAGAAATAAATAAATATATTACGATATTGTAATCTTAGTCACACTGAGTGATGGAAGCATAACAGAAATTCTCACCTTCTAGTTCTAAAATTTGAGCCTACAGTAGTGTTCCCTTAAATCTTATTATCACTGGCATACCCTAATTTGTCAAAACCACATATCGGCAAACCGCATCTCTGGCTCGGACAACGAATGATTTCAGGGCATGTGAGCAAGCTATAAACTTTCCATATTCCCAGTTTCTCTTAATAATCTTCTAATCAACAAAAGGAGGAACTCATTTCGGCTAATAAATGTCTGCCTCCGTTATCAGGGCGATGAGGGTGTCCTGATGATGGAGGCAGAACGGACTTCTGAAGTGATGGTAAACTTCTTCTAGACTACAACACGCAACAACCCAGAATACAGCCATCACCGGACTCATCGCCGTGAAAACCTCAAACCTCAACTAAATGTATTTCTTAAAACTTTGCATACCGTTTAGTGTATTAGAATATAAAATAAGCAAACAAACAAACTATTAAACAATATAAAAAAAGACATTAGTGCCAAACGCGTTTCGACCTCAAGAGGTCATCATCAGTGGCAAAAGGGGAATTAATTCATATAATCAAAAATGGTTTTAAAAAACAAATCATGAAGTTGAGTTCTTTACAAAACCATAACACGCAGGCACAGACCAGCAACGGCCACCGGACCATTGGACCAATAGCTAAGTGCAGAATACAACTCCT